AGCACTGAGGGATGGCCCCCTGGTGTTTAGTTCTGGCCGTGTTGCAGGATGCAGTGAGGAAGGAGAAGTCCCAAACAGGGAACTGAATAAAGAGAACAACACTTCATAAAAACACACCCACCTTATGCTTGGCACAGAGGTATATGTGTGTGTGTATTTGTGGGTGCTGCAGGGAGAAAATACACATTTGCCTCTCCCTTCTCCCAAAGGCACTGAAGTGCCTGAGGGACACAAGCCAGTAACATGCAGACAGCCAGGGAGGTTTCTTGTGCAGCACTCCTCCTGCAGTGCTGAAATGAGCCTTTTGTGTTCCAGAGGCCACCGTGACACCAGGCAGAAGCAAGAGGGAAAATACTGAACAAATAAACCAGAGGCTTGCATGAGCACAATCCCCATGTCAGCCTCACCCCTGACTCTGCCACGCTATAATCTGTAGCATGGAAATGTTTCTCTTGGCTGTTGGTTTAGGGCTGTGCAATCAAATCTGGTAGTTAAAATCCTGCTGAACAGGGCAGGCAACCCAAACAGCAGAGGAAAGGCAAGCAGAGCTTTCAAGTTGTTTGCAAAAAAGCCACCTGAGGAGCAGGTGGTCACACAGCATCCATCTTGTGCTGTTTTGAGCCAGCTGTCTGCAGATGTGGGGAGTAAAGAACTGCCACTGTAGGTAATATTCAGTGTGTCTCCTTTCCTTCCCCTCTGAACATCTGATACCATGGCAGCATCCCTGCTCGCAAGGGGATTAGGTGCTAGCATACACCACTGCTGCAGCTATCCATTTCCTGCTGATTTATTCAAATAACTTGGAAAAGTACATCCAGCAGATGAGTTCAGAAAAACTCTGTTGAAAAACATTCCTGGCTCTTCAGGAGCTATTGCTGTGAGATCTGTGCAAAGAGCAAACCCCACACTCTCAAGTGTAGCAGGGGTGGGGAATGGAAGGGCTGTGGGTCTGAACGTGAGTAGGAAGAAATGCGCCTGGGGTCTCAAAGCAGCTGGAGGGGTGGCCACACTAGACTGTTTTTGAATTTAATTTAGAAATAGAAGGAAAAATAGGAATCACAACATTTGAAACATCTGCCTGGAAATGGATGGTGTGCTTGCTGTGTTACTCTGCAGTGGCAAAGTCAGGTTTGTGCCTCTTCCCTGATAGCTCCTATGCTGTTTTTCCTCCTGGGGTTAACACAGTAAAAGAGAAAACCATATCTTTGTGTGACTTGGGTTCCTCTTTGCTGAGTTGCCCTGGACCTGCAGGAAAACTGACCAAATTGAAGCTGCTGTGAAGGGCTACTCAGTCATTAGTCCAGAGGGGGTCACGAGCCATGGGGTTTCAGTGCCTTACTCCCAAGGGTAACCCAACAGTTAGTGAGGCAAATCCTCCTGAAAGACACCCTGCTTTGATACATTCACATAAGCCCAGTAGTATGATCAAAATACACAGTTACAACAAGGGCTTCCTGCCATGGATATGCAAATATTGAGATCAGTGCAAATCACAGAGCTGAGGAAAGCAAACTGTGACTGCTGTTTACCTCTGTGCACAGCACCCACAGCTACAAGGCTTCCCTCTTTTATGCTTGTGTCAAGTTGCTCTTGAAAGTTTCTGCTGAGCAATAATTTCAGCACCTTGTTCCAGTGGTTGCCCCTTTCATGTGGTCCCTCCAGGAGTCTGCCATGCCGTGCCTTGAGGTAGCCTTAGGTTTGACCAGATTTTTAGGCCTGAACCAGACTGTCTAAAAAGCAAACCTTTGGTCCTTCACTGGTATTTTTTAAATTTTCCCCTGCCAGAATCTAACTGCTTTTCTGGAAATAAACAATTCCTGGGGCTGCTTGCTCAAAACACTCATTTTGCAGCTTATTACCATAGCGATCTTTCCCAGAGATTCTCTCTCCATATGTGGATTGCTTCGTGCTGTGAGCAGCTCCCAGACCGTACGAACGTTTCTCAGCTCCTTCTCCCCGAGAGGCACCAGCAGAGGGTGGTCCCAGCTCCCCGCAATGGAGACGATGCTGGAAGCCATGCTGGAGTCGAGGAGTGGATGAGATGTATGAACATGGAGGCAGCATGGCTAATTAATGACCTGAAACCAGCTGTAAAGGTCAGTTTGTTTGCGGGGGCTGCGCTCCAGGCGCGCGTGCTGAATGCGAACTTGGCCGCCGTGCCTCGGAAAGGGCACTGCTGCCCTCCCGGGATGGCAGCTGGAGGAGGGGCAGCCATCACAGGAGGCTTGACAGCCTTCAGCCTCACTCATTAGTGTGCACCCAGGCCATCCCCCGTGTCTGGCGAGCCCCACTCCTCGTGGGGTTCTGCTGAGAAACCAGGCTGCTTTCTGGGGAAAGGGCAGGCTCCTGCAGTCTTCAGTGTGGGATGCTGCAGAGAACAGGCTGTTTTCTGGGCTGTCTTGTCAGGCACTTGTCGACTGAGTTTGATCTGCAGAGTCTTATTACTCATATTAACGCTGTCAGCAGCACGCATGCAAAAACTGAGCGTCTGGATGCGAACGTCAGGGAATTGATATAAAAATGTTCTTTGCTAGCTGTTCTTTGTCCCTGTGGAACTTTTCTATACAGTGTTCCAGGGGCTAAAAATTCAAGTTTCTTGCCTAATCCCAGGGCTCTGGGAGTTAAGGCTTTATGAATATTACAAATTATCATCAAGCATGGTATAGACTTGTAAAGACAGCTGTCCTGTAGGACAAGGTGTGCCATGGGTTGTCATTTGAGATCTTCAGGCTACTTGCCAGCCCTTGCAATTTCTGACCAGCCTTCATCTCAACACTTGGACAGAGCCATGAGATAACCTGCAGAGAAAATCAAGGGGAGACAGCATTACTGAGTCACTTTGCAGACAGCACTGAGCACTTCTGATGTCAATAAAATCACAGAGATGTCACACACACGCACAACAATGGTGGCAATGAGAGGAAAGTGCCTTTGATGAGGCAGGTTTTCTCCCTCTCTGAGATGAACACAATGCCATCCCAGCTGTTCCCCACTTGCAGAGAGCTCTCTTTCTAGTGGTGATTCTGGGACAAACCCTTTTCTTCAGGCCTTTGGCCTCGTGCTCCCCTCGAGATCTTTGTCCTGGCAAACTGAACTGATCAAAGCTGCTTTTGCCATGCAGTGGATCAGGAGCAACAGTTGTTGGCTGTGTTTAGCTCCAGGCAGACCGAGGGTGTCTAACTACAAAAAGAGGCAGAAAATCAAGGCAGCTGGTCAGGCTTTGTCATTTAAATTGGCCGTGTGTCTGTGTTGGGGAATGCAGAGAGCATGGGGAAGGCAGGATGTGTCCAGAAAGTCGCCATCCCAGGTCTGAGCAAAGCATCTGACAGACCCTGGTGGCCTTAGTGAAGGTGAACTGTTGGGACTGGGATCAAACTAACTACAGAAGGGGTTGATCAAGCAGGAAGGGCACAGCCTGCACCCTTCCTGTCCCTGTCTGGGTCCTTCCACCCAAGCAGTGACCAAAGAGGCTTCTGCCACGAGTATTGGAGGCTCCTTATCTGAGGAAGACCCTCTGCCAGGCAGAGCAAGGTATCTGCAGAGCACAGCAGTCCCCTGCAAACAGCAGAAGGCAGGAGGTGTTTGCCAAGCCCAGCACATCCTTGACCTCTCACCCAGTCTTGTCACAGATTTAGGTGACTTAGTCCTCTCATCCTTGCAGTGAACTCTGTAGTTGTACGTCACATTTACTCTCAGACAGAGATCTTTTCTGTGGGAATGCCAGTCATCTTGGGTTCAATTTACAGGTTTTAAGTTACTCTGTGTTTTGTCCTTTCCCCAGACACACCAGTGCAGTGGGCCCTGCACTCACTTGCTCAGGCAATGGGATTCCCCCTCTTTTTCCCTCACTCAGCCCTGTGTCAGTCCCAGAGGCTGTGCTCGCTGGCTCCCAGACTGTCTCTCCCATTCCTGTTCCCTCTCTTGGGCGTCACTGCTCCTGGGCCTGGCTTATAACACGGTGTGTGGCACAGGGACAAAGATGACAGGCCTTCCTCCCTGAAGGCTTTCCTCTTGCAGAGGAAATTGGTTCATTGGCCTGAGCATTCAGCACAACGATTGAGAGCAGCCTGAATCTGGAGCACCAAGTGAGCATCGCTAGAACCATCTGAAAATGAGGGAAAAGAGGCCGCGAGCGAGGGATCGGCGCTGGAGGCTGTGTGCTTTGCAGGTGAGTGATCTGGGAGCTGGGTGGGATACCTGGAGTGACGCTGTTGTTCCTTTGCTGTTACAGAGCTTCTATGCTGCTGCTGCTGCTGCTGCAGCCACGGAGGTGCTATCGGGGGGGCTTTCCAGGTGTGAGGTACCCTGCGAGGCAGCTGCGTACCCAGGCCTGCTGCTCCTGGGGGACTGCCAGGAGCGGGTGTGCTGAGTCTGTGCTGTGGCCTTGCAGCGGGGCTGAGCCGGGCTGGGTCGGTGCGGCAGCGCGGGGCTGCCCCATCCCCGGCTGCCCCATCCCCGGCCCACCCATTTCCGGCTGCCCTCGGCCGTCGGGGGAGGCCGCGCCGGGGCCGCCGCTGGGCCCGGCGGGTGCAGTGAGGCGCCGCGGCCGCCAGGTGCCGCTGCCCCGCCGCGCTGCCCGGGCCCCGCCCGCCCCGCGGGACCTCCGTGAGGGGGGACCCTCCGTGCCCAGGGACCCTCCGTGAGCAGGGACCCTCATCCCCGCGGGCTCCCTCCATCCCCGCCGGGTCCCCCGCCCTCGGGGCCGGCAGCTCAGCCCTCCCTGGCTGAAGCGCTGCCCTCGGGGCTCCCAGCAAGCCCGGCCGCTCCCCGGCGCACACGCGGAGCGGGCCGGCAGCTCTCACTCCCTGGCGGCCCGGCTTTGTGCCCCCCCGGCCGGCCCGCGGAGCCTGCGCGGCGGCCGCACGGTTGTCGCCTGCAGCCGCCCCTCGCTCGCCCATCCCCGGGGACAGAGGGGTGCGCTCCGCGGGGCCGCTCCTCTCTCCGGGCGGGGCGAGGCCGTGGGATGGAGACAGCGTGCCAGTGGGTGCGGGTGTGTGCGCGGAGTGCCGGGCAGCGAGCGGGTGTGCAAACACAGGCGGAGCGGGTGTGTGCGCGGCTGAGAGCTGAGCGAGGGGCGTGTGCGGGGGTCCGTGTGGGTGCGGAGTGCGCGGAGTGCGAGTCGGGCTGCGTGTGTGTCTGCCTGTCCATGTGTGTGTCTGTCTGTGTCTGTGTGTGCGTGTGCGCGCACCGGGGGCAGCTCCCCACGTGGGGCTGACGCGGCAGCCCCGGCCCGATCCGGGGCTATAAAGCGGCTCGGCGGCAAGCGAGGCAGAGCAGCCGCGCCCGCCCGCAGCCCCCCGGCCCCCGGCGCGCCGCTCTGCCCCGGCCGGCGGCACCGTAGGACGCGGAGCAGCCGCGCGGATTCGGGCGCGGCGCGGGTGGAGCCGGGGCGAAGGGCGGGGGTGTCCGCGCAGCCGGGGTTGATGTTTAACCTGGAGCGCCCGTTCACGGAGAGGGGCCACTTCTTCTCCTCCATGGAGTACCAGCGGCAGCTGGAGGAGGAGGAGGGCTACCCCCCTCCCGGCGCTAACGGGACCTTCAACGACAGCGGGGCCGGCCCGGGCTGGGGCATGCCGTACCCTCTGCACACCACCGTCACTCTCATCAGCCTGGCCAGCTTGCTCATGCTCTTCACCGTCTTTGGCAACGTCCTGGTCATCATCGCTGTCTTCACCAGCCGGGCGCTCAAAGCCCCCCAGAACCTCTTCCTGGTCTCCTTAGCCTCAGCTGACATCCTGGTGGCCACGCTGGTCATCCCCTTCTCGCTGGCAAATGAGGTGATGGGCTACTGGTACTTCGGTAAAGTCTGGTGTGAGATCTACCTGGCCTTGGATGTGCTGTTCTGCACCTCCTCCATTGTGCACCTCTGTGCCATCAGCCTGGACCGGTACTGGTCCATCACACAAGCCATCGAGTACAACCTCAAGCGTACCCCGCGACGCATCAAATGCATCATCTTCATCGTCTGGGTCATCTCAGCTGTCATCTCCTTCCCACCACTCATCTCCATCGAGAAGAAGAGCGGGCAGCAGGCTGACCAGGGGGTGGCAGGGTGCAAGATCAACGATGAGAAGTGGTACATCATCTCTTCTAGCATTGGCTCCTTCTTTGCCCCCTGCCTCATCATGATCCTGGTCTACATGCGCATCTACCAGATAGCCAAGAGGAGAACAAGGGTCCCGCCGAACAAGCGGGCAGAGCGCCCCGAGAAGAAGCAGAATGGCTTGACTGACAAGGAGGACCTGCCAGCCACAGCGCAGCTCAATGGGGAGAAGGCAGCAGGAGGCAGTGGCGGGCAGGAGGGAGAGGTCAATGGCATAGACATGGAGGAGACCTCTTCCTCTGAGCACCAGGAGAACAACCAGTGTAAGAAGTCGGAGAGACCATCGAGAGGAAAGACCAAGACTAAGCTGAGCCAAATAAAGCCCGGGGACAGTTTGCCCAGGAAGACTGAGGAGGAGAGGAACACCAAAGGGTCCCGCTGGAGAGGCAGGCAGAACCGGGAGAAGCGCTTCACCTTTGTGCTTGCAGTGGTGATCGGGGTCTTTGTCATCTGCTGGTTCCCCTTCTTCTTCACCTACACGCTGACGGCCGTCTGCGAGAGCTGCTCCGTGCCCGACACCCTCTTCAAGTTCTTCTTCTGGTTCGGTTACTGCAACAGCTCCTTGAACCCCGTCATCTATACCATTTTCAACCATGACTTCAGACGGGCTTTCAAAAGGATCCTCTGCAGAATAGAGAGGAAAAGGAGTGTTTGAAGGACCCTTTGCTACCGGCAGGACTAACCAAGACTTTGTAGGAGTGGAAAGTACGTCTCCCTTGGGCTCTGCTTGCATGGGATGGTTTCCTTCAGCTCGTGAGCAGGAAGCCTTTAAAACCAGAGATGAGCCTGTGGGAGCACTGGCAGCAGCAGTGAGGAGCAGCAGGCAAGTGGAGGTCCGAGCTGTGGCATTCAGCTTGCCAGGGGAGGATGGCCTTTGACTTTCTTGGTTTATTTTGTTAGTTTTTATTTTCTTTTGCCAGAATCTCTCAGTGGATATTCTCATGACTGCTCAGTTTGACTCTTTAAAGGCAAACATTGTGCAGCTCTGCGAGATGAACAACAAAGAGGGAGTATGCCACACCAGAGGTGTTGGCTTTTTTATTTTGTTGTGTCTTTTCCCCCCCATGTTGTATATGTAATGAATTTTGACCCCCTTGTAAAATACAGTATTGTATTCTTGAATGTCTTAATTTTTGTAAGGCAAGCAGCTTTGAAACTGTGAATGCTTTAATTATCTTTGATACCTTAAAAGTCTTTCTTTTCCTACCCCCTGCAAAGCCCCTCACTCAAAACCACTGAACAACTAGAGCCATCCCCCTACCTGACAGTTTGATAATATTACCAACCCAAATTCCTTTTTTTTTTTTCCTTTTTTTTTTTTCTGTAAAGCTTAGGATCACAGACCTCACCAGACTGGCTGTTTTTGTTGCTATATTTTTTAACATCATACCTGTTTCTGTTTAATTTCTGTGTTGCCTGTGACACAACACAGCTGAGATGGCAACAGCCATCTCGTTGCTCGTGAGAGCAGAGCCCGACGGAGCGGCGGCTTTGCTGTGCAGGCAGGGATGTCCCAGGCAACAGAGACTGTCTCCCTTGCAACGTGAGCCTTGGGACCCTGCCAAGCTCCCCACGAGTTAATCTTGTTTGGTATTATACCACTCTGCAGCACTGAAATGTGTTCGATGCTCACTTGCTTCCTCCACCTCAACTGTAAATAGGTAATGTTTCAAAGCAAACAGCGGGGCTCTGCATATCACGTTATCTCATCTGTGCTGATTTGTGATGGCTTAACTCCTGCAGGATTTCCTGCAGAGGGGAAGGGGTTTGTGCACAGTGGCCATTCGTCTTTCTCAATTAAGAAAGTGTTCCGTTTTTAACCTGCCAGTCTCATCTTTCCTAGGAAATAGGGAAGCATCCCTCTTTCAGTCTTATACAAGGCAAAACTCTGAAATGGGAAACTTAACTTCCAGTTTCTCCACTATTTTATAGTGTAATTAAGCTTTCCTTTTTTTTTTTTTAAATCCAAGTGTAAATATTGTGAGGTTGGAGCAGGAGAGAGAGTTAATACTGCTTTTAAACTCTTTCCTGAAATGGCTTTCAGCTCTTTGTGCTAAAAAAATCCAAAACAAAAATGGACAGAACAAATCTAACATCCTTGTGCCATGAATAAGTTTCTGGAGAACATTTATAGGAAAAACTTTTGATTTAATACAATAAACAAGTAAATAAATCTGCAAGTCTTTTAATGTTAGGAAAACAGCTTTATCAAATGCTGACAAGTCACAGAAATGGTTTGGAGAAAGCAAAGTTTGTATACGTTGAATGTATAAATGAATTTGCCTTCTCTGGAGTTGTATGGTACACAGGAAGAGACTTTAAAAATACATTTTTACTTTTGGGAAGTGTTTTGTTGATTTTGCTCTCTCTTTTGAATTTCTAATTAACTCCAAGTGTCCCCGGATGCATCTTGGGACTTGGAGAGCAGTGTTTACATTCACTTGCATTTTCAGAACTGAATCCTCAAGAGGTGAGGAAAGCAAATAAACTGTGCTTTAATGTAAAAAAACAAAACAAAAACAAAACCAAACCACAAGCAGAAGTTGCTATAATGGATGATTATTTTTATTAAATAAAAAAGCGTTTACAGATCAAGTGTGAAAATGCTCTGAATAATGTTAGCTGTTTTATTTAATTGTATTTTATTTTCTGAACTGTTCACTGATCTGCCTGTAGCTTTGGTCTTGCCATTTTTTTTGAAGAACACGCTGGGAAAAGCACTTGTGTTGTCTGAAAGGGATTGTCAGCCCAGGTAGGAACAATGGCTCTGTTCATTATGCAGTGGCACAATAACAAATGAGTCCGTGATATTTCTTGGGTATTTCCACCCCGCTCCACTCTTTGTGCCACAGGAAGGGCATTCATGTGTTTGTTAAAGAAAGGAGCGTGGGGTTTGAGGGTGTGATCTGCACCCTGGGAGTGCAGCCTGGCACTACTGCTAGGGACTGCCTGCCTGGCATTTCCAGCTATTGGGGTTTTTAATAATCAGTTTGCAAATGGGATTAGGAGCAATTAGGCTGGAAGGCAACATTTTGTGATATATGCAGGAGTGTCCACCTGAGTGGGTCTTTGTTTCCAGCCCCCAGGAGCTACAGCTTGCTTGCCCTTCCACCAGTGCTGCCAAGACCCTCCCTGAAGGAGGTGATGGGGCAACGTTCTCCCACTGAATGTGGAGCTGCTTCTGGTGAGAAAATAAATGGCCAGAGCCCCGTGTGGGAGCTGCTGGTCTGGTGGCCCCACTCTGCCAGTGCCCTGGGGCTGTGGTTGGAGGTGCTTGGCACGGTGGTAGGGGCCAGGCTGTGCAGGCAGCAGCACTGGTGGGTGTAGGGCACCTGATGGTGGCCCAGAGATGAACATCTGGCTCACCTCATGGTGGCCTTTGCAGGTCAGGGGAACTTGGTTTGGGCAGAGTGTCCTGCTTCCACTCTGGTCTTGGCTGACCCTGATGGCCTTGGAGGGTTTTACAAAGCAGATCCCCTGGGAGACTCTGGGTCAGTTCCTGGGACACAAGGTGATCCAGAGGCATTGATTGCACTTGCTCCAGCCTTCTGGCTGTCAGTTGTTCTTGCTGCCAAATCTTTAGTGTGGACAGTAGAGTATTTTCTGGATTTGGGCCTGGGAGACTGAGGTTCTTCCCCCCTGACTCCCTCCCCATCATTGCTTCCAGGTCATTCCCTTGCAAATGACGCATTAAGGTATGTAAATAACTTTGATTGTTTTTTATAACCTTTTATTTTGGGGCTGAAAGGTTAATGGTGTGAAGGGAGGGAGGGGGACCTGTCTCCCCAGCTGGGTGGGAGCCAGCCAGGCTGGCACAGCAAACACCAGGCAGAGACACCACTGCCAGCTCTGCCCTGGGAGATGTTTCTCCACCACTTTCCTCTTTGGGTGACCCTGCATGCCACCCCTTGTATGGGGACCCCTGGGGAGGGCACAAAGGTGCCAGACAAGGCATGTGCAGGGAGGGCTCAGGTGAGTTGTCTGGTGGACCAAATGTCCCGAAATGGTTCTGGGAGAGCTGCATGAGCAGCAGGGCTGCCCTTGCAGAGACCTGTGGCTGCCTGCCCAGGGCTTGTCCCTGATCCCCTCAGAACTACTGATGTGCTCATTTGTTTCCATGGGGTTCTGGTCCACGTTCTCAGGGGGCCAAGGAGCTGGCCACATAGAGGAGCCTCTTTCCAGTGAGGGAGGGATTTGGCCTGAGTCACCCTGCTCACACAAAATGAGTTTCCCACACCCAGAGGAGCCTTGGCGGATTTCAGACAGTGTCCATCAGCCTTCCTGTGCTGTAAGTACCCCCAGTCCCACCCTGCATCCTGTTGCCCAGGGGAAGGTTCCCTCTGGGTTGGGTGGTGGCCCTGCTGCCTGTGCAGCTTTCTCCTTTGAAGCTCTTTGTCTTATTTCTTAACATTCCCTGTTCTTTGGAGAAGTTCAAAGTCTGTTGAGATTGCTCCATTATTACAGCCAGCCCTGGCAGACAGCTCCACTTGCAGCTCTCATCATCTCTGGTATGAGCTGCTCTTTGCAGCTGGTTTATAGGAACATCTCTGTGACTTGTGAAATGTCTGTAGTAGCTGTGATTTCTGTGCCTTATCTCAAGCTGTAGAAACAGAGTGAAGAGAGAGCAGAATTTGTGTCAGCTCAGCCCTTGCAGTAGCCACTGGTACTCCCTCAGCTCACAAATGCTCAGGAGCACATCCCAACCCCTCTGGGAACAGAAAGTGTCATAGTCTGAGCGCAGGGATGTCCAGGTGAAATTCCATCAGGGGTCACAGTGCAGGAATGCACAGTGCTGGGAGGCTGCAGCACAATCCCAAATATCCTCAAGGCTGAGCAGAGGGGTGGTGAACAGGGCTGTGGAGGACACAAAAATCCATGCCTTTTTTGTGTCAGACCATGGCTAGTCCCAGGAGGGAGGTGTCATGCAAGCAGAGGAGGAGGAGGAGGCCTGCTGTTGTGGAGCATGGGGTGTTGAGAGGTGTTGAATGGAGATACTGATGTTTGAGCTGGTCATTCAGATTCTTCCATCTTGGGACACCTTCTCGGCCAGTTCAGTTGTCCCCTAGAACAACTACTTTCTCAAGAAGGACCACAAATATTGAGGACATCATCTCACATCCAGGAGTATGGGGGTGTGAGGTGGGTCTCAGCACCCAACAGAGGGACATGAGGCTAGACCATAAAAGGGAGCAGAAAGACAATTCCCTCACTTGACCACATCAACACAGGTATAAACTTGTAGGCTCAAACTGGTTTAAAGCTGCTTAAGCTGGCTCTAGTTTAGTTGGTTAGTGTGATTGCCAATTCCCTGTTGGCTAAGTTCAGAGAGAGCATCTGTGCTGGCTTGGACATAAGGTCCTGCTTTGCTTCTGTGGCTCTGAGAGTGGCCTGTAGCAGATTTTAGGGAATAGTGAAGAGCAAGAACCCTTCCCAGGAGGCTGGGGGGTCATTAGGTGCTCTGGGATTTCCTGGGGCCAGCAGTGCCTTTTGCACTAGTGGAGAAATTCCATGGACATGTGTTTCCTGTCAGCAATGCTCTGCTGCTCTGGAGGTCTGGATGGCTTTCAAAGGCATGTTTGAGTCAAAAGCCAGTGTTGGGTCTGTGTGGGAGTGGTGGTGTGGATGGGTTTTATCAGGAGGTGAGACGAGCTGCCCTGAGCATCCCTGCTTTCCTGCACGCAGTGCCTGCAGCCTTTGGTCCAGATTGGTTTGGGCACAGCCCAGGATATTGCATTTGCAGGAGCAGTCCTGAGGTCCTCCAGAGCTCTGTGACCTGCTGCAGGGTTCACTCCCAGACATGAGAAACATTTGCTTTAAGTCAGCTGCTACATGGAGGAATAGATTGCTCTGTTGCTGCTTGAAACTGTTGTGTTTTGCTGGACCATGACTTTATGGCCTTTTTTCTTGTTTGTTTTTCAATTGCTCCCCACAGAAAAGAAGAAAAGAACAAGCTTCTCATTGCTGGACATCTCTGATAAAATAATTTCTGGTGAAGGCTTTCTTTTCTTCATCTGTGCATGTGGCATTGCTGCAAAGTATTCATCTTAAGTTTGACACCTTAAAGTGTTACTGAAAGATTCCCCAAGTAAAAAATGAAATAAATGTATAAATATTTAGGACTCTGCACCCAAACTTCTTTTGTGAACCGACTGAACTTTTTTGAAGAGTGAAAAGCTGAATCCTGGTCTTTTGCTACCAGGGTAACTTTTGGCATGAGAAGAATTTGGACAAACTGTTCCTCTTGCAGACCAAACCATGCAGGGTTGGACCCTGAATGTGGCAGACCTGGCTGCTGGGATGCTGATTTATACTCTGCTGGAGCCCCCCCTTTCCCACCTTATTCCTGCAGTCACAATTCCTGGATAATCTAATGATAAATCCTCTCTGTGTAAGGCTGAGCTTGTTCTTGGTTCCATGATGCAGACACTTGAGCTGAAACGGCTCCTTGAACAAGGTTTGCCAGAATGAAGTTCCTGTTTTTAATTTAGGCACAAACAGCTCTCCATGCTCGTTGTCTCTGTGTGCTGTTACCCACACAGGGCACACTTCCACAGGGGTCACCAAATACAGCACTGAGCTCTTCTTTTCCCCAGGGAGTACCCAAAACACAGAGAAGTAGCATGACCTCACTCAACCACAACATGAAAAGGGAGTGGAGTCTCCCTGTTTTTCTCTTGGTTATGGGTTTGACCTGTAACCTAATCACAACTCAAAGATTTATACTTCAGTGATGTTAGTTAAAAGTGACCCTGCATTTATTATTTTAAAGCAAATATCTTGTGGCTTTAAACCAGCCTCAAAATCTAGTGGGTACAGAAGAGTTAAAATGTCCAGTTGAAATGAAATCACCTGACTTGCTTACTTTGAAAGATTTACCATCCAGGGCCTTTGGCGTTGCTGTCTCAGGGTAATGAAGATACATCCAATACATTCTGAGAAGAAAGGATAATTGCTTTCATCAACACCAGCCAGTGTTTGGGTGAGATGGCTTTTAAACAGTGCAGCAGGGAGGAAAAGAAAAGCTAAATGCTGCTCTGCTGAGCTGGGCACGCACTGAGGAGAGCCAGGTAAGCAGTGCTGGATGCAGGGCAATCTCTCATCACTGTTGGCTCTGTGGGGGCTAATTAGAGACTCTGTTCTGGCTGCTGTGACTGGTATGGATGGGATTTGGTCCAAACAGGGTTTTCTGTAGTAAAATAAGATGGTTGTAGCAACAGATGCAATGGTGGCAGCTGCCTTTAAAGCCCAGTGTTAATTGGCTTAAATCTTTGCAATGGAAATGATCTGCTCCTATTGTAGCTGTTGCTCATTGTTCCCAGGAATGCCTGTTCCTGTTCCTGCTGCTGGGTGATGTGAGAGATGTGCAGCCGTGTCAGGAGGGTGGTCAAGGACTAGGAAATAATTCACACCAGAGACATCCACCCGTGAGGGGCCTGGGTTTTATTTGCCCTTGGTCAAATAGCTGTTTTCATCACCTCAGCTTCATGGATGCCCACTGCTGAGGATGTAGCAGTGACTGGGGTGGGATGAGGGCACACACTTGGGGATGTACACATGGAG